GTTGTGTGGTGCAGCTACTTGTAGCATCTCTGTTGTGTGGTGCAGCTACTTGTAGCATCTCTGTTGTGTGGTGCAGCTACTTGTAGCATCTCTGTTGTGTGGTGCAGCTACTTGTAGCATCCCTGTTCTTGTGCTGTTCCACAATACTCCCCTATTTCCGTTGCTTTGTCTTCATTTCTTCAAACATTTAATGTAATATAAAATTTTCCCACGTTATTGCAGTAGCGAACACATTGAATAAGTGTAGGTTAAGTTAGTTGACATTAGAGATTTAACTAAGTCATAAAATCAATTTAAAAAATTATAGAACTAGTCGCGCGAAATAAAGGAGGCAGTTGGTGATGTTGTGGAATTTTGGTGACGATCTCGTCTTGTTTGTTTAAGATAGATTCCCGCTAACACCAGTGAGTTAACGCTCGTAAAGGGCCCATGTTAATTAGCTAATGCATGTAATTTCACCTCTTGGTCCAGCCCAAAATATTATTGCTTATGAACGCGCTTATTTAATCATTACAAATGTTACCGCAAGGCTATTGCCTGTTTCGCGTGCCAGCTACTTTATTCGGTCGATGACGATGTCAATTCTCGCTTCACTGTCTTGTCTCAAGTTTCTATTAAGTGCGTCAACTGGCTCTCACTAACTACAACCTGCTTGAGGTTGGGCCGACCATAATTTATTAACATGATATTAATTGAAATCGTCACTGTCACTAGTAGTTCTGAAAACCGCAAGATTTTAGAAGGTGTGTGTTTACTTATTCGTTGTATCTAGAATAATATTCTGCGCATATTGGTCATAAATTTTGTTGTCAGGCTCTGCAATTAGTTCCCTGCTTGTATAGCATCTGTTGTGTGGTGCTACTTGTAGCATCTGTTGTGTGGTGCAGCTACTTGTAGCATCTCTGATGCTACAAATCGTTAGAATCGTTATTACATTCAGTATAATAGAATCATTATTACATTCAGTATAATCAAGCATCCTTTACATCTTACCCAGATGTACATACGTCCCGGCCTGCCTATCGCGCCTGTTTGCTACTCTGTTTGACAGTTGTCAGCTCCAGTTGTGTCGGTTAAACGTACTGGGGCCATTGCCGTGTTCATTTCTGTTGCTGCTCAAATTGTAAATAATGAATATAATTGTTAATTAATGAAATTTATTAGCTCATATCATTTCTTAAAAGTTATGCCGTTCATTCTTTATTTCTTTATTTCAGCGCTGAATTCGAACTTGACCTCCAACATTATTTTACGCAATCAGTGAACGGTCAGTGGGCTCCCAATAAATTCTATCAATACAGATATATTTGCGTTATTTCCTTACAGTACCTGAAAATTTTTTCTTTCCCAAGTTTCCAACAGAAACTTGACCGTTCAGAATTTTTCAAAATATCGAAAGAAACATGAATTTTTCGAGTTTCAACCCAAAAATAAAGTCAATCTTGCATCGGACGCAGAGTTCGGTAGCGCAGGCCGCATTTCACGCCCCTGAGACAAGCACTTCAGTGGCGGTCGTTAGTGAACTGCCGGGCACGAATGTCGTGTCCGTGCGTCACGACATTCGTGTGTCGTGCGTTCTTTACGACTCTGCAGGCTGATATTCGTGGCACATTCAGTCAGGCGCTGAAGTGTTCAGTCGTGCGTAGGAAATGCTGCTGGTGCTACTGGTGATGTTTGTGATGCTGCTTGAAATGCTGCTTGTGGTGCTGCTTGTGATGATGCTAGTGCTGCTAGTGCTCTCGTTGCCGCTGCTGGTGATGCTGCTGCTAATGCGGCTAGTGTTGCTTATGTTGCTGCTGATGTTCATGCATGGTGGTGCTGCTGCTAGTGCTGCTAGTGCTGCTGCTGTTGCCCCTGCTAGTGCTGCTAGTGCTGCTGCTGTTGCCGCTGCTAGTGCTGCTAGTGCTGCTGCTGTTGCCGCTGCTAGTGCTGCTAGTGCTGCTG